TTCCTGCGCCCTCCCTGTTAAATTTTCTTACTTTTTTTTTTTTTTCTTAGAAAACAGTTCCCTACATCCTCGCTTCCTCCAACCATCATCCATACACGCAGATGCGTGGTTTTCCTTTTTTCCTAACTTTCGATTCTTCGCTCGATAATCCGCCCTCTCCCTCTTCTCCGTCTCTCTCTCTCTCTCTCTCTCTTTTTTCCAGATTTTCAAGCGCCGTTTGCACGCTTCGTGGAACGACCCTCGCGCGTGTAACGAATCCGCGCTTTTTTCGTTCTTTTTTCCTGCCAGAAATATCCAGTTTTTGGGGTGTAGCGTGTGCGCGTGCGCATTGAGACCGTCATACAAGCCGTCGAGGTGGGGCGAAAGAGAGAGACGGATGGAAAAGAGGGAGAGAGAAAGTAGCGCACGAGCGCCGGATTCGAAAGAAAAAAAGTGGTTAAAAATATGTAAACCGACGGGATAGATAGCACGTGGAGACGGGAAAATGGGGAGACAATGTGTCATCGGCACGCGCTTGCCTCCTTCTTTCGGGGTTTCAATGATCCAGCGGAGGCTTTTTATGGGATAGTCGAGGGGAGGGGGATCCTTGTGCAGAAACAGGGAAGGTTGGTAAAGTTGACTTTTAATTGCGATTGTTATCTGGAATCTGGAACCATCTCGCAAGATGGATTCCAAGATGAATTAATCAAGTTCTTTCTCTCAAGTGCACAGTTTTGATTAATTCGAACGAAACGATGGATAATAATAATTTTTGTCAAATGTAATCGATTGACGACCGGTTAAAAAAAAAATTACAGTTCGAAATCTGGTAGCTCTTTCATTCTAAGAACAGACGATTAGCAGCAGATGTGGATGAACACGTCCACCAATTGTAACGGAATTAGTGAACTGTTACTCGTTACACGAAACGCTACTGGTTAAGGATTAGGGAGAGAATACCTTAGATTGCTTTAAGGAGAGACTTTATGGCGGGGGTGTTCCGGTATTTTTAGTTGTTCGACGTGGTGGCACGCGCTTCCTTTTTTCTCTCAATACCGACAAAGCATCATCTGCCCTTAGCTAACGTCTCTCCCTTTTCTCCTCACGCGTACACGTAAACATACTTAGACACACGTGTACAATGCAACGCATGGTGGTTTATTGTCTCGGTTGGGAAATGGGATTAAGTTACTCAAAAGGAGAGAAAGCATAATATGGGGGTACATTTGAGGGAATAAGAAGACTTCGTTCATCGACCTAGTGTTTTCATATTATTTAGTTAGTTTGCAAATTTGATGTGTGCGCGTATTATTGCATCGATTATTATTATTTAAATAAAAAGAAATTGCTCTACTTGGGGCAGTGATTAGACTTACGTATCAACATCATTATTCAGACAGTTATCCGACTAAATTTCCACGAGATAAGAGATCGCATTGGAAACGATCAGGATCGTCCATTAAGGTAACCCTAACCCTCTCGAGTGGGTTCACGGTTGACGATCGTCCATCAGACGTTATCCTCGACCGGTAATTGGCGAACTTCAGACGAATAATTTTTCATTCATCGGTATACCAGCCAGTAATTATATGATACATCGGATTCGGCTAATGGGGAACACTCGAAGCCTCGGAGACTCGGTGTAATCGATGACATCGAGCTAATCGATTCACGATGCAAACCCCTCGACGAAACTCCTCCCGCCTATTACTATTCCGTTTCTCCTCTTCCTTATTCGATATCGAGATAGAATTATTATTAAAATTTTATTTAGAGAAGAAGAGAAGAACGAAAAAAAAAAAAGACCAAGAAGAAGTGAAGATTCGGAAGAAGAAGGAATTAGAAAAATTGAATTGAAAATTTTGCAAAGCTTGAAAATACAATTGAACCAATACGAGGATTAATCCCTCCTCGTCGATCCCTCCTCCTAATATCTCCATTCAAGAAATTTATCTCCTAGAAGCACGTGTCAAACAGGGGGTTGTGGTGTGCAAAAAAGAAAACAGAGAGCCGTGATTCGAGCCAAGATCGTGGGCATATATTACATCGATACTTTTTTCCTCCAAAAGACTTGGTTCACCCTCGTGTATCAAGGTGTGGCCTCGAAGACCCCGTGATGATCATCATCGTCATCTTGCCTCTGTGGCGAGCCATCAACGCGTGCTAAGCACGAGCTTCTTTTTTCCTTTTTTTTTATTTTCCACACTCCTTCTCACCGACCATCGTACACCGTTCTTCTTTCCACGAGGGGATCCCCACAACAACGAGACCGCCCCTTGTTTTATCTAAATTCCCTCCCCTGTTACCCACTCGTGGCTCGCCGATCTTTTCGGTCTATTTGGTAACATTTTTTTCGAAGGGATACGATAATTCGGGTAAAGATGGGCGAGAGAGATGATGTAGAAAGATTTTCCATTACCGTCTATCGGTGCTCCTTTCCTATTGAAACTGCAATTGATGCGTTTATATATTATTCATTCGTCCAATAAAGAGATTGTTATTAAAAATTATATACGAATTGATCGTCTTTACCTCTTTGATTGCCTAACGCATCTTCCAAATAACAAATTTCTTCTTTCTCCGCACGAACAAATCGATTCGAATCCACTCGAAGATAAAAATATACCAACATCGTCGATATCGACTCAACGCGTCCACATCTTCCCGATACCAAAGTCTTCGGGCAAAATATCTGAAATTTCGCATGAATTTCGAGGATTCGACTTTGGCTTTCGTCAAGATTAGGGTCAAAGTGGACCTTGGCAGAAAAATGGCCCCTCCGTACACGCGAGGATAGGGTGTTCCCCGAATATTTTTATTACCGTGATCCGATCTGGATTGGTCGACGAACGCACCCTTGCACCGATCCCAACCTCCAATCGGAATCGAATTCGCGCCAGCGGTGCAATAAATCCCCACGAGTGGATTCTATCGTAGATTTATCATAGTCACGCATTCGCGTCTGCTCGACGATAATTGCAGGATGGTGTCCCTGCATCACACAGATCGTTGGCCGAGGGTGAGAAAAATAATGATTCCTGGCATTTTTTTTTTCAATAGATCAGGGGAGTGAGAGGGGTTCTTGCGGTTCTTGTGTCGAGAGAGGAAAGGTTTGATTTACGTTCTTTCTCTCTCTCTCTCTCGCGACAACACGTACAACCGCGATGCCGCACCTGTTCGAATGAAACTCGAATGGAAACAGACTGAATAGGTCGTACGATACGATAGATTGGAATAGTAATTTTGGGCCTCTCCTTTATTGTTTGTTTTTATTCGAAGCACTTGTACTATCGTGTTGTAAATACACTTTCGTGTTATCGTTTCATTAAAATGATAATAACAAGAGAGTGGATAGAGCGTATTGGATCGAATGTATTGAGGGAAAAATCGCAGGTTTGATAATATTTGAACGTTGCGACAATTTATGCCGAATTAATTATTAATTTCGAGTTAATTTCGATGATCTCGTTTGTATCTCAAATAAATAAGTAAATTTGATTTAATCGTCTCCGATATAAATTTTTGCTCGAAGCGTGGCCAAAATTACGCGAGACGACGAAATTGCAATAAGGCAATAAGATTAAATTAAACTCGCGTCACGGATATATATTTTCATCTGTGTCACGCAGTGGCACGATTCATAGCGTTTTCTATTTACTCGCGGATAGCTCTACTTCCATCGAATTAACTCGCTAAGACTAATAGCCCTGGAAAATAGAGCGTGGACCGTAGATTTTCCCGAATGATGGCTCGGGTGTACCCTCCAGGTTCACGCTGCAATTGTAATGGCTACACCCTCGATGCAATCAATCGCCAATGTTTCCCGGGGTTGTGGAAAACATCGTCTTTATTTCCACGTGATTCACGTTGATCGCGGGGAACGAAGCGTGAGATTAAACGTTCGAATGCCCCGCGCTTGGCTAAATTTTCCTTGCCTTCGTTAGAAATTATTCCCCCTTCAATCCAATTCGTCCACATTGATTTATTAATTTGGGGACGTGACTAATTCTGTAACAAAAATAACCTATGTATCTAGATTCGAAGATCTACTTGTAAGCTTAAATATTTTTTAAAAAATTAATAAATTATGAAATTTAAACTATTGTATGTATTGTAAATTATAAATTTCGTATGCGTGCCTAAGATTGAATGTTTACGTATTAAAGAGAAGAATACACGAGGAGTAAGATATATTTTAAAATGTAAGAGAAAGCTAAGTACTAATTTTAAGAATATTTTATCGTGTTACTTGATATTAAATTCTAAATTCACGACCGACATCCTTAAGTGGATCATCGATTATTTGTAGAGAGTTTCAAAACGAATTTTCTTTTTTTTTTTTATTACAAACGTTACATAATCATACGCGTATAAAATTGCGAAGGTAAAGAAAGAACATCCGAAGAATGATTGACATTTAACCACGAGCGTGATATTCCCATAACACCTTGCGAAAACTAGTATTCAAGCAGAGAGTACACGATCGAGAGGGCTTCTCGCGCGAATGACGTATCGAATTTTATGCCAACAGAACTTCCGGTGACACTTTTGTGCTCCGACTCTGCCCGGTTATTCGGCCGACCTTGCCGCAGAACGCGGCAAACGGTTCGGCTGTCGAAAAGCTCATGATCCTCCCGCTGCCAGCCCTTTTGTCGTTGACAAAGGAGTTGACAAAACATGACAATCATAACAGCCATAACTTCTCATAACTGACGTGGGTGGAGCGCGTCCCGGCGACGAGCGTCAGACCGACAAAGCTTGCTGCCTTCGCTACCGAGGCTTTCGTGCTAGACAAACATTATTTTGACAAGTCTTTGGAGAGAAACACTCACCCCTCTCTCGGTTTTATCGCGGTATTACGGAAGAATTATGCGTTGGCCGTAGGAATTCTTCGAGATCCTTCTGTTGGAAATGGAAGCTTGAAGAAGGGGAGTTTTCGCGTGAAAAAATTAACGCGATGTTTGTGAATGGATCGTTTGCGATGAGAGATGAATGAGAAATATTTTTTTCCGAGATTATATTCAATATAGCAAACATATATACTTTTCACTTTATGACGTATGAACTTTTGTAAAAGATGAAAAAGAGTTTTCTCACGTATCTGACTTTCCTTTATAAGAAGAGTGTCGTCCTCAGTATGCACAGCCATTTTGGATCTCCGTTCTATTTTTATTCATCGAAAATCAATATCCCATTTTTTGACGCTGCATCAAATGTTAAAAAAATCAATTTACTTTCATGTAAGTTATAAATATATATATACGAATGATCGAAATTTTATTTAAAAAAAATATATTTCACATGCATCGAATAAATAATTCTAGTGTCTTTAAGCTTTCAAACTTAACCTCAAAAATAGACGGATGGCGCGCCATCTACGTGAAGCGTTGATCGAAGCTAGGTCCGAGTGAAAGGTCCGAGTGGACACGTTAAAAGGTTTCTTTACGAGGTCGTAACGAGGATCACGGTGCCTGTTCGTAATCGTAAAGCGCGGTGTTACGTTCTACGAGGAAAAGCGAAAGCCACATATTTCCTCTTCTTCTTCTTCTTCTTTTTTCCTTCCCTCTTAGAATTCGTTCTCTTCTCGTTTCCTCCTCTTTTTGTTCCTACATAAAATATTTTTAATACAATGGATAGGGGGATGGACTCCGCGAAATGGAATCTTCCAATGCTCCTTTTGATACGGAGAGTCATTACTCCTCGATACGGTAACGAGATTCGTGGAACGGTTTGATATTTCCGATCGATGACATAATATCGAGGATATATCTGTGCTACTGCTGTTTTATTGCTGTTGAAACGATCGAAAGGGTGTACGGGGTGAATACTCGCCTTTTTTTCCCTTTTTCTTCGAGACCAGTCGAAGTTTTCGTTCTCCTTCTTTATACGGCGGTGATGATTGGACCATAACAAATGACTCTTCTTCTGTTCTATAGATGTCGAATTGTTATTGCTCATGAACATATACACACGTATTCTTCTTTGAATTCACTTTTCTTTTTTCTCTTTATCGTATCTCGATGCTTTGTTGTATTTCTTCCTAGTGTGATTAAAATAAAATAGAATAAAGTTCTTAATACATCTTATATATAAATGCACATTTGCTGATCTCTTCTTAAACCAACCTTAAAAATTCGTCAAGAAATTTCATTCTTCAACATTCACATCGATCAAACGGAACGTTTAACACCGGCCTCATCCCGATTCTTAGGCCCTGTATAAAATTATACAGAGAGCGAAGTTACACCAACTTCTATCTCCTCGTCCTTTGTCCCATCAATCTTTCAAGCACTTTCCATTATGATTCGTTTTCTTAATAACGAGTTTCGCTTCGCATTTTTCCCCCTTCCCTTCTCCCTCCCCTCCGCCACCTTTAGCCCGCCAAGAAGTCGTTTTATCAAAGGATAATGCGATCTGTCCTACACTTTTCGTCGCTTCTTTTTCCTTTCGCATGGAAACTACGCTTTCCAAGGTTCCATACCTAAGCCGGCCACGTTAAAAGTTAACCGTTTTACCAGTCCGTAAGAGGGCCATTTACGGTCTGAATTATATATTTTCGAACGACTCTTCGTCCCTTTGACGAGTCCACCATTTGCATGCTCCTCGTTCGAAGTGTGCGGGCGAAGGGGCCCTACGAACCAAAACTGAAAAATCTTAAAATGCGGTTTATGACTTTATGCTTCTCGTATTTTAGCGATATTTGGAACAATGAGGGACCAATACTGACCTAACTGTCTTTTCGGTACTCGTACTTTCACTTCCTTGTTCAATGCGATTTTGTTCTTTACTGGCAGATTGGCCAGTTTCAAAAATTCGGTGCACGCATAAAATATCTCCTAAAGAAAAAGTTTCTTTTTCCTCGTTTGTTTAACCAAAAACTAGGAAGGACTCGAAATATGGAGAGAGAGAGAGTTTTCAATATGGTGAAACTTTGGGTTGTTCCAATTTTTAAAAAATTTTTAAATATCTTGTTTCTTTTGTTTCTTTTTTCTTTATTACGATTATTTCTTTGCAAATATCAAAATTGATATCGTGATCAAAATTTATATAGCAATGGTTTCTAGTTTTTAAATCTATCGCGTTATAATTTCTCCAGATTTCTTATCTTAACATTTTATTACGATATCTCCTTTAAATCTTTACAAGATTTAAGATTTACAAAATATTACAAGAATTGTTTTCACAACATTGAGAGGATTGTAGCGATACCGATCAATTCTCGATACAAATCCTATCTTCATTTCGAGTGCCGAAATATGCAAACAAGCGTGGGTGGTGTTCCATGTTCGTATTCTGTTTTTCGATTTCCACGACAGAAGTAACAAATCACTGGAGTAATTCCCATAGAGATGGACAGAGGTATGCAGAGGGAAAAGAAACGGGACTGCTCCAGATTTTCACGGGTGTTATGGAAAACAGAAAAAGGTTCGCGATGTATCAACTGGTGTCCAGAAAATTGTCGCATGGTTAACGTTTTTCTGGAGCATGAAGGTCAATTTTAAAAACTGTTGCTTCCATTCTACAGAAAATCTCTTTGTTCTTTCGTAGAAGTTGACGCGATACCAATCTCCGGTTAAACTGAAAAACCAGAAAATAAATTGTAACGATAAATTGAATTTTCGGTAACAATAATTAAATTATTTGTTTGAAAAATATATATTCTATAGATTCTTTCTCAGTGGGCAAAATTTAATAGTTGAATAAGTTACTTCAATAATTTATTGTTCAAAACATAATAATAATTGCAAATAATTGTAATGCCAAATGGTTGAGGTTATATGAGAAACAAATTAACCATAATAGCTACGAATAAATTATTTAAGTTATTTTAATAAGTAATTATTTCAAGTAATTTTTCGAGATTTTTAACTAGTTATTTTTTCAACTTAATGTCCAACTCTGTTCTTTCTTTATTTTTTTATTCTTATTCTTATTCTTTTTTAAACAAAACATCGATTTATTCATTGATTATATTTCGATTTAAAATACAAATTTTTATGAATTATCGAATTGCATATCTCTTTGCCACGAAGATTTCTCTCATTAGACAATTTGAAACGCGAAAAATGCTCGCTATTTTATTTTATTAGCTTTGAATTTTATTAGCTTGATTCTGAGAAGCGCAGAATATTAGTCTGTACAATCATGCGCTTCGAGCATTACTCAGCAAATTTATAAATCTAACCTCGCATTAATTTACAACAAAGAAAAATTACCTCATATTTACTTCGTTTCAAAATTATTGATTTATTGATTGATTATATTTCGATTTTACAAATTTTTATGACTTATCGAATTGCATATCCTTTTGCCACGAGAACGAAAATTTCTCGCATATAATCGTTAGACGATTTAAAATACAAAAATTACTTGCTATTTTATTTTATTATCTTTGAACTTGATCCTGAGAAGCACTGAATAACACAGTCTATACAATTATATATACACAATTCACACAGAAAATTTATCAATTTAACTCCGCATTAATTTACACAAAGAAAAAAATAACCTCGTAGCTACTTCGTTTCGAAGTACACTGCGCATATCTAAAGCGCATCTAACAGAGACGCAAATGTTACTTTGTCTTCTTCTCACGAACGAGCATAGCATTGTACATCTATTCACGAAAGATTCGGTATCTACGTACGGAAGAAGATCAGATCTCGAAATCAGTTGCGAGACTAAAAATACGTGGAACGAGTTCATCCAAAGTATATACACTTCGGATACCTCGCGAGTTTTCTCGATGATCCTATACAAGCAACGCGTGTTCCTGAAGGTGGTGGGATATCTTCGTAAGCCGTAAGCCAAACAGGACTAGCCGGTAAACCACTCGGGGTCGCGCGTTATCTGTTTGCAAGCGGACCCACGAGCACAAAGCGTGGCCCGAGCTGGTGCGTGTGTCTTTTCGAAACGATAATATTGCGACAACGGTGCACAATATTTGCACCCTTCGTCACTTCGCCTTCTCTTCGTCCCTTTCTCGTAGAATATCACCGAGCACACGTCTATCTAGACCGGGTGAAACATTGACAGGAATTACGCGTGTACGTATGAAAATCCCTTAATCTTTGGAGAGTTTTCGGTTGAAGATAGGATTCAGATAGATACTAAGCGTGAAATTCGAGGCGGAAATGGATCGAAAACAATCGAGTGTTATACTGTTGAAGGAAGTTATATTGGAAATGTCAAAGACAGAGATCGATGTGCTGGTTGTCAAAAGATTTTTTGCTAAGTCATCAGGTCAGCTTAGTACTGACCAGGTACTTAAATGCTAGTTCTAATGTTCACTGGTCATAATTTATTATTTATAGGCATATAAAAAGAACATCTTTGATGTCGACTATTAATGTATAGTTAAATTACTTGGAAGGTAAAAGGTTAACAACTGAGAAACTAGAATTTTTTTTTATTAATAATTAATAATTTTTAATTAATAATTTTTATTAATAATTTTTCCATTAATAATTTGAAAATGCTCGAAAATGTATTTTAAGCCTGTTTCTAAAACTACTCGTTTTAAATTTCGTGTCGATCGATGTCTTTTCGAAGTATAGTTTAAGATCTTATAATAATATCAATTATTATATTTATATATTATATTATTGTTATATTATACCTAATTTCAAATCGTCGTATACAAAAAAATATTGCAGTCTGATATATCTGTATAAAAAAAAAAGTTTACAAAATTAATGGAAATTTAAGTATGAAAAACAATAGAATCGTGCGGTTAATGAAATTTACTTGTTAATTCTATTTTTAGGAAAAGTATACAACATCATATTACAACATAAAAATGACGGTGGCAAAAACATTTTTTCGGTGAACAATAGAAAATCGTAAATCCGATGGAATCCTGTGCTTGATTTTTATGACAAGTTCCTCGAAAGTTATTGAAATAAAGTCAACTTGTTGAAAATTAAAAATGGAATGGTTTTTGCCTCAATCCAACCTAATGTTATTAGAATGAATAGATGTAAAAGTAGGTAGCATTTTTGTTTTATTTTTTTTTATTACATGATTATAAAAATAGGAAAAAATTTAAAAAAAATAGTAATATATTCATATTATATGTAACGTGTTGTATAAAATAATTATATATATAT